CCTCGGGTTGTTTTTGGCTGTCTTCCATGCAACTCTCCTTTTCCATCCTACCTACATTTTACCTCGGGTTGTTTTTGGCTGTCTTCCATGCAACTCTCCTTTTTCCATCCCTTCTAACCGCATTAGGTTTTCTGCAGGCCGAAACAAATGCTATTTACGGGGGTTGGTGTGTAAGGCCGATTTTTAATTGATACCGTTACCGTCCTAGCTTGACCGCTACCGTTAATTCGTCATTTTCACTCAAGTATTCGCACACACTCTCACGTCTCGCACCTCTCTCTCTTTCTCTCTGCAATTTATTCAATGCCTTTTTGGGTTTATATAGGAAATTAGGGTTTTGAGGGTACTCTGTTGTTAATACATGGGAATTTAAGTTGCACTAAAAACTTGTCTGTTTTATTCAATGACCTTTTATCCCGTTCCCTTTTTAGCACTATTTTCAGATCACTTTCTAAAAGCTTCTTGTTTGACCTCTGGGTTATTTTCTCCACTGTAATAAGCTACCTGGAGCAAGTGGACCCTCAGCCACTTTAATACTGAGGGTGGCGCCCGAGATTACCGATTAGACAATTAACCGCAACTAATTCAAGCCTATTAAAAACCGAAAGCCCGTCACAGCTTACTAAACCTGGAATAACAACAAAAGAAAAACATTAATTCAAAAGTATTGCAACTATACCTACATAAATAAAGCATAACCTAAAAGAACTGCAACAACATTCTGTTAAGGATTGATTGGGTTGGGACTCTGGTAAACTAATTAGCACAACACTGTTTCACTGAACTGACTGAACTTATATTGACACAAAAAAAAGCCCTATTTTTGCACTAAATATTGTTTATAAAATCCCCTAAAAGTAATTAGCTGTTGGATTTTTGGTTTTTAGCATCTATAAATGAGAAATAACAATACTGCATTGATAGTTTGCTGTTAAATTTTATGTTACGAGAAAATTTATCTGCCCTGGACTATTTATTTATTATTAAAATTGGGAATATTCTGTCTATAACAACCTTAGAGCAGGTCTACAGTAGAACTAATTTTTAACAGGGGCGGCTTCTCAATAAGTGCGCTCGTGCGCGCGCACTGCCTCCAAAAACCAAGCAAGAAAATAAAATTAAAATTTTGGAAAGAAAAGAAACTTCAATCAAAAAATACCTACCCAATTTTCTAAATTAGGATAAATATCTACTCATTTTTCTATTTTTAAATTCGCACGAACGGAACGAAAGCGCGCCCTGCGCCTGTCTTGTATATTTTTTTCTCCCGCTTGGTAGTGCTGGTGGTCCGGGTGGTCGGTGTGGAATCGTTCGGCGCTCTGGGTAGATGTGTTTTCTCGCTGTGCGATTGATCGGGAATATACGGTAAGTCGCCCGATGAAAGGGATGCGCCGTGCGCTATTTGAATACACACTTCCAATGTTGTTTCCACTCAATCGAGAATATTTCGATGTTTTTTCACCATTTTGGTGGTTTGACAACTTTGTTGTTCGCGTTTTTTTTTTAAATTATAAATTTCAATATCAATTATGTATTATGGCTAGAATACAAACATTCAAGCCTCATTTAAATACCTACATATATTTTTGTTTTCGATAATTTTTCCTAAAGTAAAAAGAAAAAAAATCAACATACAAAATAAATGTAAAACAGGACGTGGCACCTCTAAAAAATTTTCCAAGAGCGCACAACCACACTAGGTTGCCACTGGCCGCCACTGATTTTTAACCTCCTGTTCTGGAAACATCCATCCACATCACAATAACACATAAACTTTTTTGCTTATCTCACTTCTGAATTTGTAGGGATGGGTTTAATTAACTAAATTGTTGCAACACAAGCCTTTTCTACATAAAAAATTTGAAAGCATTGACAATTTCACATTGTATTGCCAACATAATGTCATTTGACTTTTATCTTTAAAAAAAAACAGACTTTATTCAAATTTAAATTCCTACAGATCTGTTTGTATTTCACACTTAAAACATAAAACCAAAATGGTGGACGCAACTGTACGTAATATGGATGTTTAATATGTACCTACATAAAAGGTACAAAAGTGTACGTCTTATGTACGTTCTGAATAGGTCATCTGACGTACGGACGTGAATATGACATAAAATGGACGTTTTAAGTATGTAGTGTGTTTGCTGGGTGTATAGTAATCAAGAAGGAGCTGATATACGAATGATTTTTTGTGTAAAGTTAGTGTATGAATCCCAATAAGCCAACGAATTTTGATAAAATCTATAGATACAGATGTGTTAGTTTTATTGATTCATTTTTATTTCTCTTTGTCTACTTTAGAAGCAGTTGAGTTATTTATCAAATTGGGCCATGGTGCGAAACGAGACGATATGTTCCACCAAATATGGCCGTTGAAAATTCAGGTATAGAATTTTGTTCCTGTTTTTTGGCAATTCCCTGCTTAACCGGATGAGGCGCTACTAGTGCTTTTTATAAAGTTGGAAAAAAGACTGTTTTGACATCTTAAAAAAGAACCAGCCTAACTAAAATATTTGGCATTACCCCTTCTCTCAAAGAATAAAGTATTGAAGCTAGCTACAAAATACGTGTTGTTGCTATATAAAAACACTCAATGAATTACTCTTGCGTATGGCTACAACAACCAATAAGCCATCATCAGAACTGCCACCAACTAACACGGCCTCTTATAAACATTTTCTTAAGTGAGTAAATAATTTCATTTATCATTCAAAGTTTGATTTTATTTTTATCATAAAATTTTAGGTACCTACATGTATCAGCTAAGAATTTGGTTTTGTTTTTTCACTGTGAACCCGGGCCTCCCAGTTCTTATTACGGGTGCCTGGAATTTGTCCCGTTTCCCCCTCCTCTCTCTCTTGTCGGGCCTAAAGATGGGGTTTAATGATCCCCAATGTAATGGTTCGATCTTGGAAAATGAGAATTGGAATCCAGTCTTTTCGAGCCAACAACCAGTGCCCCAATTTATAAGATAAGGTTCAAGCTTATATTGTGCAGGTAAGAACTGCATGAATTCAAAATGCACCTGCATTGAGGAAGGGCTGAAATGTTGTGATGAGTGTAGCTGTAACTAGTGCAAAAATCAAAAATAAATTATGGAACAAACGGAGGTGTTTGAAAATGAAGAAGAAGAGGTTGAATAGGTACTAAAAACAAGATACCTACTTTATTATAAGGATTAAAAGCAATATTGGTTTTATGTTTTATTTTTATTCTTCTAAATAAAAAAATAAAAAAACTGACCCGTCTGCATATTATAAAATATATTTTCAGCTACAAAATCGTACCTACTAAATGGCGTAAAAACGACAAGCCGCTGACGCCGATCCCGTGCACGCTAAGCCTGAATTTTCAAGATTGCGCGATTTTGTAAAATTCATAGCAAAAAAACTATACATCGGAGATAAAAGATTTTTACTTTAAAAACTTTTTGAATGTTTCTTCTTTCTTTGCTTGAAAAAGTTGAAAATAAAAAAGTTTGTCGCTTAGTGAAATTTTAGAGTCATATTATGTGACGTAACAGTTAAAAACGTCATTTAAAAAATATAGAACATATTTCGGTACAGCAATGTATAGGTCTGTTAGAAAGCCCAATAAATGGACTTTATTTTGGTGAAAAAGTCGATTTCCTAGCTTTGTTAGTTTTAGAGATATTAGAGTGTGATCTTAAAATTTACATTTTTCGATTTTATCCAAATTGGTGCTATTTTTCTAAATAAAAAATATCTCGACCACTAAAAAATATCGTAAATCGCCATTTCGGATGCCCCCTAAGACAGTTAATAATAATATAGACATTTTATGTGGTTGTACGCCAAAAATTTTTTTTTTTAACATTTAATAGGCTATTTCGCTCCACTATAAGATGTTTCTTTTGTGAAGAGAATACACGAGGCATAGAATTTTCTAAATATGAGATTGGGAAGCAATCTCTTGCTGCCTTCGTCTTATGTAAACCCAGTTAGGTAGGCAAATAAACAATATTTTTCCAATATAGGAATGTTAATTTTTTCTGATATTCTCAAACATTTTCATAGAAAAACTGTTCATCTATAGGTACATCATCATGTGGAATCACGTATCCACAAAAAAACACGGATGAAAGGTGTTCAATATTTATTATTAAGGTTTGATAATAGACAAACCACTAGCATTTAGTATAACCAGTTAGAATATATTTGTTATTATTATGTCAAGATGTTTGTCACATATATCATGTAATAATGAATGTAATAGTTTCTGCTATTCATTAAATATACATGTAATGTTTTAATTGTTTAGTTTTCTATAATATAAATATTACAAAGTTTAAACAAAAGGCTTGAACCTGTAAAAAATTAATTGTTTCTACTAAATAGTTGGTGCTGATTCATTTTGTCTCTTTAAAACCGATTTAATACACCGAAATGAAGGAAACCTGGGTATTAGGTCAAAACTGGGTTCTACGTCAAGACTAAAAGACGTGATCATGCAAGGTCAAAAGTTTATCCGCAAAAATGATATATTAGAATGTTTTTATTATGAATGACAACAATTAACTTTTTCAATCTTATTTATTTTCGTCAGACTTTAACCCTGATGTGTCTGGTAAAATCCTATAAAAAGAATTATTAGATACCTACCTAAAAAAATATGTAACAATATGTTACCTACCTACTATACTGTTGTAACTGAAATCATTTAATTTAAGTTGGCTTTTTTTATACTAGTTTATTTTGAATTTTTTTTTCTCATTTGTATTGTTTTCGATGAAAAATTAGACCTTTTGAAAATAATTTTTGTATTGCCAAATATGGAAAAGGGCATTAAAAAATGGGTTCGTTGTTGCATTCCGTGTCAAAAAGCCAAAGTTACAAGACATATCTGCATTACCTACCACAGAAAATTATGAAATTTCACACAAAAAAAAAAATGAATAAGTTCATATGGATATTGTCAGGCTCCTTCCGCCTTCTGATGGTGCTCACTTGCATAGACAGATATGCAAGATGGCCAGAAGTTTTTCCAATCAAGAATAGAACGGCCGTAACAGTTGCGAATACGTGTTAAACTAGATGGATTATCAAATTTGCTTTTCGAAAAGCTTTGGCAAAAATCACACATAAAAGATTAGAAGTGCTTCAGATCTTAGAAAGAAAAGCGTTCTCTTATAAATATAACACACAACACAACACATTGTAGAAATGATCAGTATCGCAGTAGATACTTACCTATTATTGATTTTTTTATTCTTTTTCAACATACCTAAGCATAATTATAAATACCTACATATCTATATATCTATTATACAAATTTATATATAATATTCACCTATAATTTTTTTTATTTAATCAATAATTCCATTATCACGTTCATATTGTTTCAAACCAGTCAAAATACAATCCAAATTCTTAAAACACAACTCTCCAGGATCGTTCGCTCGTATCGACTTGCAATGTTCCACATATTTCAAATTTTCAGCGTTATAAAACAACTCCAAAAACGAAAACAAGTTATCGTACAACATCGCGGTACCGTCTTCCGATAAATATCCCTGTTTTTTGTAGCTGCACGCCAAAAATGCCTTGTACTTGTCAGTATTTGTTGTGGGTACTTGCTCATTTTCTATAACTGCGTGGATATCTGCAGGATCGACTTGCGTTTGGTCGATGCAATCTTTGGCGATTCGCATCAATTCGTGTTTTGATTTTGGTACGTATGCTAACTAGAAAAAAATCAATTCTTTAACAAGTAATATTTAATAATTAATCCAATCGACAAGAAAATTTTGGTGAAGAAGTGTACAGGGTGTCCCATTGAAGATGGGAATTGGGGTTATCTGCTAAACTCGTAGAGGTAGATTTTTTTTGTTTCCACATTCCCGGGCCAATTTTTCATGACGAATCGAATGCCGCAAACCGCAGGTCTCTATCTTTTTTCGTTTTGGAGATACAGGGTGAAACTTGAAATGTTCACTTTTCGAGGGTAGTCATTATCTAGCGTATAAAAAAAGATATCAAAAAAGTGAAAATTGTATCTGACGCAGTTTTTTACGTAGATTTCATTGGCGTACTGGAATTTTTTTTCCGAAGTACCGCTTGAGAGATATGACACAAACTTCATCTTTTTTAAATGGGACACCCTGTAAATTTTTACATTTTTGGAATACACATAAAATTACCTTTCCGATGATATATAATTTGTCTATATTATGTTGTAACTTGCCAATATTATCATGGTATTTGAAACTTTCCATAAGAACCTTTGCAAATCGCATTGAATATGGTTTTATTTTCTGGTTCAATGTGTGAGAAACTTTTGTTATGGGATTCCCTGTGAAATAATAGTTTATCAAGGACCGGTTTATTCATCTTCTGATGAACTCTCAGATATGCAATATGACGGATAAAAATTCAATCTGCAATCCCATTGAAATGAATAAATCGGGCCTAAGGTCATCATCATACAATAGGCGATGATTCGATACCGAGTATGATATTCTCCTATTGTTTTTAATGTCGTCAATTGTGCATTTTCTAATGGCTATGCTATATATACCAATTCTAGAACCCCACACTCTTCCACAGTCTTGGCAAACCCAGCCTCTGGCAACATTGGTCTCTTCCTCTGCTCTCTCGCTCCTTCCTGCGGGCCCTCTTTTTGGTCTCGTGTCTGCGTCGCTGTTTTTCAAATTTTGTGGTCCGTCGTGGACTACTCGACGCCATTAAGGCCTAAGGCCTATCATTTGCCGTCGTCTCTCAGATGCAATGACGAATAAAAACGCAATACCTATGTATTCCCATTGGTCCGCCAGTTATCTGCCGACCACTAGAATTATGGAATGGTAAATTTTCCTTGCAATTAGTTTCCAGCAAAGTTTATCTGAATAAGGCCCGGTTTATTCATCTTCAGATAAACTTACTAGTAACTATCTGCAAGATAAATTCACTGATCTATAATCCTATCGGTTGGCGGATAACTGACCGACCAATGGGATTACAGATTGCGTTTTTATCCGTTAGAGTGCATACCATACCTGACAGTCTATTAGAAAATCGATAAATTGGCCTTTAATCATATTTTTTTTCCCATTTCAACGATATAGGTATTACACTTCGTTGGACACATAGCGATTTGTGGCATCGTGTAACGTGGGCTCGTGACAAACATGTGTCCAACGTTGGCCACACTCAACGTTCGGGCCAAAGTCGGTAAATTTGACCCGCTTCAAAAAAGGCTTCCAATGTTGGACAGAGGTTGGAGACACTGCCACACAAGAATTGACAGTCGTCCATTTTTTAGGTTAGATTCAGTGGCGCTATAAAAAAGTTTATTTTCCGATGCTTGTCCTGACTCGTGCTACTTTGAAACAAAACGGCACTGACAACGATACTCCAACCTTTGTTCCAAGGTTTGTTCCAATGTGGGAAGGAATGTTTGCCTCGTCGTGTAGCGGCACATTTGCCAAATGCTAGAGTGCCAAACATTGTACCCAACGTTGGATCTAACGTTGGGACCAATGGCTGGACACATCGGGTGGCGTCGGCTTAAGGCCAGTTCATTTATCGTTAGATAAACTCACTGGCAAGGTCCTCCCTCCGCAGATTTTAAGCAACTAGAGAGAAACCAAACCAATAGGGAACTTGCACTTTTTTTTTTAATTTCAAAAATGTGTTGTACTACACTAAAGACATAGTCATGCCAAATATCAAGCATTAAAAATCAGCCGTTAATTTTTTATAAATATTTGAAGTTACGCTCGAAACATCGCCATTTGAAACGACCGATTAGTGTGACGTCACTCAGCAACAAAATTCCGTTCACAGAAAATGGTTGACAGTGACCTGCGAGCAGGTAGATTTAGATTATGGTTATGTTGTTATGTATGCCGTTTATGATAGATTTGACATTGACAACACCAGCAGCACATGGCGTGGCAGCGGTGCGACCCGATTATTACTGCCCTTTGACGTCAGGACCCATAGAAATACGTTTTTGATCTCGTCAAGAATTTCGAATTATTTGGTATTTTCAATTGAAGATTTTGAAAACCAGAGATAAGATATTATATCCTTGTCCTAATTGCATCATTTATTAGGATGATTGTTATTGTATTTTATTATTTATTTCATATTTAATTTAATGTGCAAGTTCCCCATTGGCAACTTAAATCACCAACTATGGAATATGGATCACACACGATGCTACGCTACTGAAAAATCGAGTCAATTCTTGATTATAGTAGCTTTGTTGTGTTTAAATTATTATTTTATTATTATGATTAGGATATTGTTATTATCCTAGCAAAAATGTTTAATAATCCAGGATATTATCACTTATCATAAAAACGAATTCGGCACAAGAAAATGGGTATTGGGTTTATCACTACATTCAAAAAATAATAAAATGCATATAGGATTTGAAGTAGCCTAAAATTGAAGGATTATTCTCCAATTTTCGCCGTTTTGCGTGCTTGTTCACAGGATAAAATAGAAACTAATCGCCAAGCGACGCTGCATGTCGGATTGCGGCTAACAGATCACCGACGAGTTTCCTTACCAGCGAGTTGTGTTGCGTGCGGATGCTCATTGAAATACACAAGCGGCAACTAATAAGCAACTGATTGACGATTCAAGTTTCTAGTAAGTTTGTTTCCAGTTGCCCAATGTGCGGAAGATCTAAAGCCTAACTGTCTACAAGATAAATTGGCCAATCTCTAATCTCATTGGTTTTCGGATAACTGGACAACCAATCGGATTATTCATAGATTACCAATTTATCCGTCATATTACATTGCCTGACAGTTTATCAGAAGGTGAATAAACCGGGCATTAGACTATTAAATGCAGTTACTGAGCATTAGTGAAATATTTGATTATTTTTTATAGGATATATGCTGTAGGTAGGTACCGGTTAATCCGAAATGACATCAATTTTCTTTGCAATCAGAACCTATTTCTTCTCACAATAATGGAGAGGTATAACTACAAAGTGTAATATCTATATTGTTGAAATAGAGAAAAATACAGGATTTAATAAACTATTATTTTACAGGATGTCCCACATTTAAAAATTACACCAGAAAATAAAACCAAATATTCAATGTGATTTGCAAGGGTTATTTCTTATGGAAAGTTTCAAATGCCATGATAATATTGGCCAAGTTTCAACATAATATAGACAAATTATATATCATCGGAAAGGTAATTTTATGCGTATTCCAAAAATGTAAAAATTTACAGGGTGTCCCATTTAAAAAAGATGAAGTTTGTGTCATATCTCTCAAGCGGTACCTCGGAAAAAAAATTCCAGTACGCCAATGAAATCTACGTAAAAAACTGCGTCGGATATACAATTTTCAACTTTTTGATATCTTTTTTTATACCCTAGATAATGACTACACCCTTGAAAAGTGAACATTTCAAGTTTCACCCTGTATCTCCAAAACGAAACAAGATAGAGACCTGCGGTTTGTGGCATTCGATTCGTCATGAAAAATTGGGGAATGTGGAATCAAAAAAAATCTACCTCTACGAGTTTAGCAGATAACCCGAATTCCCATCTTCAATGGGACACCCTGTACACTGCGTATTAGGTGAAGATTTGGAATTCAAACTTGTCCCAAGTAGGTATAGTCCAACAAATACCATTTTAAAGTCACGTGATTTTTCTCTATCCTTGTTGAATACATCACAAACAGCAATTTTTTTGTCAATTTTACTATCAAAATTGACAAAAAAATTGCTGTCTAATTATTGTTCATAATATTCTTACCTGAAATAGAATCCGTCACTGTCATCAATTAGTTTGTCAAAGTTATTTTCGAATATAATACAACGAGCAAACACAGCTAATAATTTTGACTATATTAACCTTTTTCCAACTGGAAAAGAAGCAAATAGAAAACGGGTACCCAATTCAAGTTCAGAATGTATTACAAGGGGCAGCAGAAGCGACAAAAGTGAGTCTCGCAACAATTGCAAGTTTTAAAATTCTCATCTGATTGGTCAATACTACTTCAGAAACGCGTTTGTAAAATGCTAGTGGGAACATATATTAAAATTCAATAGTAATTACCCACCAGTAGCTTTTTGTAGGTGATATCAACGGCATAATCAATGGACATACGTTTTTTGCCACCAGTATCACGTGACTTTAAAATGGTATTTGTCGGACTATAGGTATATAAATTTAGGGAAAATTCAAAACCATAAGAGCTCAAATAGGGAAACATAACAAAATAATTGTCAATTTATTTATAATAGGTATCAATATTATTATTAACATCACCCAAAAACTAGTTCTGGTTATTTCATTAATATTCCTCAAAATTATTCAGAAAATACTGGAGTGACCATAGTTCTGATTAAAGGTAACTTGATGTTTCTGTACTATTTGATTGAGACTATTCCAAATGCATGGAAGAAATACAAAAATTTTCTTAAACAACATTTTCGCATCAGAAGTGGAAATTTTCCACTTATCAATCATTCGTATATAAGGGAGATTCTCACAAAAAGGAACCTTATATTTAAACATTTTCAATAAAAAAACTAAATTGTAGTAACATACCTGAACATATTCTAGACAACAAACGTACACAACGAACAAAAATACTAAACTTTTTTCCATTTTTTCTTGGCGACCACTCACTGAATCCTAATAATACAATGAAAGAAGCTGCTGGTTGACGGTTTTGTCTTCCGATTTATAGATCATTGCCAACTCAAAAGGTTATCATTATTTATGACTTCAAAAATAATAAATTCATTTTTTTCCCTTGTTTTTGATTGAATTAATTTACAAATATTGATTGGCCGGATTTTACAAGATTTTTTGTAATTTTCAAGGTTGGATTTGTTAGTTATAAAGAAATTCTCCTCATTTCACGGGATGATAAGAGATGAGATGGGTATAGAAACATTAACAGTACCTAATAAGAAAGAGCATTTTATGTTTATCAGCATTTCAATTAATGTGATAATAATAAACTATGCATTTTATTTGGAATAAGATATTTTTATAAATCATTCATTATTAGACTTTCGATAACTTGAGAAATGGTTGTCGGAAAATAAACAATTTCTTGAAAAGTTGTGAGAACTAATATTATGATTTTATAACAATAAAGTAAATGAAACTGTACCTAAATTGACGTAGTTGACGAACCTAAATATAATTGCCAATCTTTTTGGCACTTGGCTAACTATTATCAAGATAATTACATCTCAACACTCTTCCCTAATTATTTTAACTTGCAAATTATAAAATACTTTTTAACTTAGAGGTTTGGTCAACAACCAATTCATCAGTAGGTACTTGAAAATGTTCTGGATTCAATTATTGAAAAGTACCTAGTTTCAAACGGATCAAATCAGGAGGAAGTTTTCTCAGATATCTTATAAACGTTCTAATATGTTTTCAAAAATCTCAATGTCAAATAGAAATTGAAATATAGATAGATGAGGCCTCATATTTTTAGAACATCCGTTGGCTCCCCAATATTCAAGAATATTGGGCATTCTTCGATTGAACAAATAATTATATTTTTTAGAAATAGCGGAACAGGAATTTAGGTCAACGTATCGAAATCACGTGAATTCATTATGATCGAGTGGGGAAACTGAAACTATTTAGGAAAAATTCAATCAAGACAGTCTATACAGGATATTACAAATTCGAGTGTGTGCATGGGGATCTCGGAAACTATAAGATATACGAGGTCGATTAAATTGAGGTAAAGTTGCGAAATTTTATGCTTAACAAAATATCATTGATTATTCCACTCATGTGTTAGAAATCCCATAAGACAAGTGACGATTTTCAAAATGACAGCGAAAATTCTTTTTTCCATTAGTTTAACTAGAGAGAATTACAGCGATAATTTTCCCATGTTATTGTATACATGATTGTCATACTAATTTTTGATACAAACCAATATGCCAATGTACCAATACAAACAAACGGATCCTGTTAGCAACCATATTTTTTCCTTATTTTTTGCATTTTTTTTCGTGAAATAATCCTCAAAATACCACTCGAGCTTTAACATGGACCAGATAATTTTTCACTCATGCGTGTTTTCTTTGCAAATTATAGAAAACACGCAATCGTGAAAAATTATCGGTAATTTTGAAGCTCTCGTGGTATTATCCACGAAAATTCAAAAGTTTTTGACAAAACTTTGACTAAATATTATTTTTCAAATTTACTGTTCCTACGTCAATGTAATATAAGTGGTAAAAACGCTGTTGCGATGATTATTAACGGCATACAAGACCCAACCATACAATCTGGAGCAAAATTAAACCGTTACGAAAACCCCGAGCGTTTATATGCGGATTATTTATCAACAATTGCAAAAGAGACTGGACCAAATCGTGACAAAAAAACTTCTAGAAGAATAATTCCAGATAACAATAAAAATGAAAATGCTTGCCACCAACGACGAACAGCGAAACCAATCAAATGCTACAATTATTGTCAGTAAATGGGTCACACGTCTAGGAGTAACACACGCTGATCTAGGTGTTGATTTGTCCGAAACCCCATGTAGACATATTTGTTGTGCCTGATAATTTACAAAATCTACCTGTCCTTATCGAAAGATATTTATTGAATAAAGAGAACGCTATCACAGTCGTCCAAAAAGGCGGCGTACGACTATTCAGCTCCGAGGTAGCTGCATTACCACAAATGAAGCAGCTGCCATCCAAGAAAATTAGATTGGTTGCCAAAAAAAATTCAGAAATTCAACCAAATCATATGGGTATTGCCCGATGTACGTCCAACGAGAATTACAGTGACGATATTTTCATTGATCTCAGAAAATCATTCAAGCCAAACTCTGAGTACGTGATTTCAAGATGTGTAAGTGTAATATCATCAAGCGAAACCAAATGTTCCTGTATTGAGTACATCCAGACAAGAGCTTGGTGGTAGCCCCGAAACAATTTATATGCGACGTTGCAATTTTCGACATTTTCATATTTGGACTGGAATCAGCGCTACGCCACGCCACCGCCACAGTTGTTTATTAAGTATTATTATTATCCCGGCTTTTTGGGTTTTGAGTAGACACAGAATATAAATAACCTTTCATAATTTGATTATAGGTACTGCTTATGATTGAATATAAATTGAAAATTGAATAAAATTGAAACTACAAATTTTGTAATTTGAAGTACTGCCTTTTGGTTGGAGTGGAACTGGAAACTCGTTTGTTCTCCTACAGGGCGGAAAATTTTTTCATATCAAATTCGGAAAAAAATAGTTATTTTTCTAACAAGTGCGGGAAATACCATTTCTCGCAAGTGTTTTCGCTCTTTTTTGACATTCCTTTGATAATTTGACGTTCTATGCGTGAAAACAGATGATCTTAGTGTCAGGTGTCCAGATAATGGCAGAGATTAATCTATTTTCAATCCCTAGTAGGACTGCTTATTGAGCTAAAAGTGTCTGCCAACTGCTATGTCTCTGCATATCTCAACTCTTGGAGTAAAATGCATTATTCAAGTTTAAAGCACACAAAAAAATAAATTCCCAAACGTTAAAATTTTGTTAAAATCACTTTTTCACATTTAAAATCGACGAAAAAATCAAATAACGAGCACAGCCTGAATCGCAAGCCTTCCATCGAGGTCTGCGGGTGACGTCATCACTATTAGCAGCTGTGGCGACGTCACTCGCAGACCCTGCCTGCTCAAGAATTGGTGAACGTACGCCTTATTAGGATGAGCAATCCTGTTTACGATTGCTATGAAAATGTCGAAAATCCCAACAAAATCCAAATCTTTGATTGCACAAACAAACTAGGATCTGCAAAAAGTTTTTTTCTGACCATTGAAAAACAAACAATTGACGTTTTCAATTAAAAGAGATGGACAATAAAGTATGAAAACAATCATTTTCCCGCCAACATTTGCTTGCTTGTCAATGCCAGTGTGTATTGGGTGTTTTGAAAGAAATTGTGGGAAAAGTTACTACTTCATTTGCAGAACTTCGCTATGGAGAAAGCGGTGAATTATTTTGGAAGCAAACAGCTCCCGCAAACTAAACTTGAACGTGGATTACTTTGTATACTTGATGGGCCGTGGATTCCCTTTTTTTTGCGAGTATTCTTTCTGATTTTATGTATCCAAAATTTGACAAATGTAGGATTTGATGGAAACTTATGGAAAGACACGTTCGCCGGTAAATAGGAATTATTTTTACAAAAAGGCACACTACACAATCACCATTGTTAGGAAAAAACTTTGAAAAAACCGAGGAAATAATATAGGATTTTCACGCTATATTTAGGATGACGTCACATTTAGTAAATTTCTGCTGCAAATCTGACAAAACTAAAAGTACTTCCTAGCGCATTTAAAGTAGGGGAATTTCAGATGTTTCTGGTTGGCAACGGCGCGCGATGTTGCATGATTTAACTGAACATTTTCTAATAAATAACTCGTGTCGATGCATTTCGTTATCTTTACCTGTCAGTGATCTTGATAATTCATTATGACATTCTGGTAAATTATAAGAAATTAAATAGGCATTGACAACATTGTCATTCCTTGTTCTCTGACGTCATCCTAAATATAACGTAAAAAACCTATAGTTTCCAGTTTCCACATGTACAAAAGTCTTGTCAACAAACCACTGTCAGCGGCTGTCAACCGTTGTTTTCATACTCTTTTGGCGTCTGACAGTTTGACGCCAGAGAGAGAAGCTTTTAAATTGAAAAGGTCAATGGACCTTTCTCATTTTACCTGTGCTGCGCGCGCCGCTTGTGGGTGACAGATAATAAACTTGTCAATTAATGAACGCGGTCTGACCCTGACGTTTTTTAAGCTAATCTCAACAATCAATCAATATTGCTGAAAACTATTACAAAACCTGTTTTCTATACAATGTTTCAAATCAAATCAAATCAATTTATTTGTGTTAATTTACACTCATATGTGTTTACACTTGTCAATAAAAACTACTGTCTAATTCCAATTTACATATTAAAATAGTTTAAAAAGGTTTAAAACACAAGCTAAAAATTACATTTAAAAAAAAAACAGGCTAAAATTTACATAAATTAAAATAAACATTTACCTTAACGAATTTTACAAACAAATTTCAAGAATAAAAACATTACATCAGGTTAAGATGGCACAATTACTATTATTATTACTTATTCTATTTTTCACTGCAATTTACCATCCATCCAGCTAAGTGTGGAGTTGTTAAACTCTTGTATAGAATAAAAAGCCTTGGAAATCAAAAAGTCCTTTACTTTCTCTTTAAATTTAGACTTACTTAGATATTTCAGGGGATCAGGAAGCCGATTAAAAAATGTGACTGCATGGAACCCGGGTCGATTTTGGCACCTTTGTAACCGGTGAAAGATTGGTTGTAGGTGGTTTTTGTTTCGCGTGTTGTAGTTGTGAATGTCACTGTGGCAGGTATATCCGTCATGGTGGTCTTTAACATACATCAAATTTTGGAGAATATACTCACATGGCAGAGTCAGGATTCTGTTATTAATAAAGGCCTGTCTTACATCTTCCCTATAACCCAATCCCGCAACAATCCTCACAGCACGTCTCTGCATAGCAAAAACCCCCTGTGCACCACTAGAGTGGCCCCAAACGAGCAACGCGTAGCTGAGATGCGAGTGGAAGACAGCAAAGTAAGACTGTTTGAGAATTCTTGGAGACACGCACACCGACAAATTCCTTAAA